ACCACAGCCACTGCCCCCCTCCAGAGGCCATCCTGGTATCTTGCCTGGGTCATTGCAAGCCCCATTCCTGGCCCCCTTCTCCTTCCAACATGCTCTCCACACTGAAGCTAGAGCGGGCTTCCCAAAGGCAAATATAATGTCATTTACTTGCTAAAACCCTTTTCTCTTAGCAAAAAGTCATTTGTAGCATATAAAATCATTCATGATCCTAAGAAATATAATTTTTACTTAACCTCCCAGCCTTTGAACAATAGTAGAGCCTTCAAAGTCTATATTCTAGCTGCACAAATCTGCTTCCATTCCCTGATCAGGTCCCATCTCCTCCCTTCACCCTATCCAGTTGACCCTGCTAACCTTCTACATTTCCTGTGAGATCCATCTCACCTCCACTGAGAAGCCTTCCCAAGGCTGGGTTAGGCAGTTCTTCCACATACTCCCATAACTCCCTGTTCAACTTGGCATTTACCGTAAACTCCCTAGTCTTCTTCACTAGATTATATGTTTCCTAAAGACAGATACTTCTTACCCATTTGTTACCTCTTATACATAGCATACCCAATAGTACATGTTATGAGAGACTATGGACTCTGAGAAAGAAACTGAGGGTTCTCGAGGGGAGGGGGCGGGGGGATGGGTTAGCCTGGTGATGGGTATTAAAGAGGGCACGTTCTGCATGGAGCACTGGGTGTTATACGCAAACAATGAATCATGGAACACTACATCAAAAACTAATGATGTAATGTATGTTGACTAACAACATAATAAAATAAATTTTTAAAAAAAATAGTACATGTTAAATGGTTAATATATATATCTTTGGATGATTAAATTTTAAAAATCCATTAGAAAGATGTCTTTTAACCATTTTGTGGATCATATTGCTTAAATCTCTTCTTTTGGCTCCCTCGAAGCTGGAATTTTAGAAGTGCAATCTTGGGCAAGTTAAACCTCTCTCTATTTACCTTCCTTGTCTGTAAGATAGGGATAACAATAGTACCTACCTCCCAGGGTTATTATGAGGATTAAAAGAGTTGATACATGTAAATCATTTAGAACGGATACCTGGAAATATCCAAGAGCTCTCACTAATAGCTGTTATTGTCACTGTTGTTACTGTTGTTACTATTATCCTACAAGGACCCTTCATGTATGACACCTAACATGATACAGGGCTCAACAAATTTTACAAGGTCACAAGTTAAAGAATTAAAGAAATGTAAAGGTCAGAGGTCAACAAGAAGAAAAGGTCATTATCCCCACAGAAAAGCATCCTGGGGCCAGAAACACTGTTGAACTCATTATGGGTAAAGGTTCCAGACAAGGGACCACACTCTCCTTTTACAGGACAATTATGAGAGCAATTTTGTCAAAAGAGAATATGAACAACCCACTTGGCACAAAGCAGTCTGCAATGGGTGTTAATTATTTACAGGAGCTGTCTGGGAAAGTCAACTAAGGACCATGAAGCCACTGGGAAATAGTAACCCCTCTAGACAGGAGGAAGAAGCCACCAGTCTTACAGAAAGCTGAGTTTGAGTCCAGTCCTTCTCTGCTGGAGAATAGCAAGCCCCGGTCTCACTCGTCATCATCCAGGCAAACCAAAGTGAGATCATGAGATCATTTTGGAGAATGCTGCTTGATGCACCAATTTTTGATTAATACTTCTTTCCTTCAGAAGGGATTTCAAATGCTGCCATGCTCATAATTTGAATCCATCTTGGGTAGTTTAAAACTTCAGGTTTTCTAAGAATCTGCTGCTCTATCAAAACAAATCCAAAAATTTCTTCTAATAGCTTTGGTTTTGTTCAATAAAATTTATTAATGTGTCAGGCACCACACTAAATGATGAGAATGTAAAATCTACAGACATAATTCCTGCTTTCAAGTATGTATAGCCCTAGTGGAAAAGCAGATGAATAGTTACAATACAATGTAATAGATGAAATAATAAAAATGTGGGGCACCTAGGTGGCTCAGATGGTTAAGCGTCTGCCTTCGGCTCAGGTCATGATCCCAGGGTCCTGGGATCGAGTCCCCCATCGGGCTCCCTGCTCCTTGGGAAGCTGCTTCTCCCTCTGCCTCTCTCTCTCTCTCTCTCTCATGAATAAATAAAATCTTTAAAAAAAAGAAATAATAGAAATGTGTATAAGACTCAGAAGCATTCAGAAATGACTCTGTTCAGGCTGAGATAACATTTTGCAAACTATGAAGTAAATATGTGTTTGATTTACCCAGAATATAAAATTTAAGATCCAAATAAAAACAATGAAGTCAAATTACCAGGTGCTATGACAAAAGGTAACATGGAAACCACTCCTAAAATCCTGTTAAATGATATAAAATTGGAAAGGAGGATTTATCATGAGAACTGAAAAGCATTTCTGGGGAATGGTCAGAGAAAAAGTTGGAAGCTAATGGAACTCTCTTTAAATGCTAGCTCTGCCTTCTATACTGTGTGAATTTAGGCAATTTTCCTAAACTCTCTGAGTCTAAATTTTTGTTCATTTAAGAATAAGGACAATAAGGGGCACCTTGGTGGCTCAGTCGGTTAAGCGTCCAACTCTTGATCTTAGCTTGGTCTTGATCTCAGGGTCATGAGTTCAAGTCCCAGGTTGGGCTCCACTTAAAAAAAAAAGAATAGGGATAATAACAACTATCATATTGAGTTATTTTAAGCAGTCAATGAAGAAACTGATGCAAATCACCTAGCACATGATAGATAATAAAAGCAGCTAATATTTTTTTCTCAAAATATAACCTCACTTGTCATCTATTTTATTCTATGCACTTATAATTAGGTAACTGTGGTAAATCAACTAGAGTTCTCTTATAGGGTGGGATTTTAAAGTCTTTTTATAATGGAATTCTATCCTATTTCTTAGTTACTTTTCAGAACTATCCACGGTAGTTTTGATGCTATACAAGCATTTTACATATATCCTGTTTTACTAAAATGTGTTGCAAAAGGTCTTAAAATCCAAGGCTAGTTGGTAGCAAAAATAATCAGGAAACAGATAAGAAAAAGTCCTGTTCAATAACAGGATAAAATGAATACAAAAATGCTAGTATCCTGACAGGTTAAAGTGTTCTGGTCACAAAGACACCGATGGGATTATGAGAAGTTCCCTATTACCAAAACGCTAAAGCTTAGCAGTTAAGAGGTTCTTGTAGGCATATTATTGCTCCTTTTTGCAAACTGCCTGTAGCATGAATTATGGATATTTCAGAATCCTGTCAAATAATGTCAATTAAAAAAAATTAAGATGTGTTTTTCGAATTACAGAAAGTGTGTAGCTGATGCGACAATAAAGAGAGATCTCCGGTTAGCAATCCTAGCACTTGCATTTTTGTATCTCTATTGTTGATGGAGGACAGTGTTGAGGTTGAGTTGTGCCTGTCTTTAACTATTAGTCTGTTCCTCAACTGCCCACCTCAAAAATGGGGAATGGAGCCTTTCCTTTTTCTTTCTCCCAGAGATGATATAAGAATAAAGGGTCACATGATGGGGCACCTGGGTGGCTCAGTTGGTTAAGCATCTAACTCTTGGTGTCAGGTCGTGATCTCAAAGTCATGAGATTGAGCCCCATGTCAGGCTCCACACTCAGCGCAGAGTCTTCTTCAGATTATCTCTCTTTTTCCCTCTGCTTCTCTCCCCACTCATGCTCTCTCTTTCTCTCTATAAAATAAATAAATAAAATATTTTAAAAAAAGATAAAGGGCCACATGAATACTTTGAACACATCATAAGAAATAAGCTATATAAATTCAGAGTTGCATTATTGCATTATATTATATTGCATTATTAGGAGATTCCCAGGTGGGCCATATATGAAATAGATGACTTTCCTGCCTTATCTTATATATGATTTCCTGAGTTCAAAAAAAAAAAACCCACCTTGTTGTCATCATGTTGTTACTCTTAACTCAGCTTCTTATAAAGATTCCTTCGCCTAGAGCCTCTCTGTCCTATATAGTAGCCACCAGCCACACGTGGCTATTTAAATTTTAATGAATTAAAATAAACTAAAACACAAAATTCCGTTCCTCAGTCTTATTAGCCACATTTCAAGCACTCAACAGCCACACGTGACTACTTGCTATCATGTTGGACAGAGAGAACAAAAAGTTCTATTGGAGAACGCTGGCCCTGAGGATACGCAGGCTTGAATGATCCTGTTGCTCTGTGGTCTTAGGCCAGCCATTGATAGCATTTCAAGGATTGAATGACCATAGAAGTTCTGAGAGGACTTCATAATCACATCAGGGTCAGACTAAGGGAAAGGCAGAAGTAAGCAAAGAGAAATTAAATAGGCAATAAAGAAGGAAGAAGGAATGATAGCCAGCAAAAGAATACACACTGACATTATTACAAAAGGATAAAAAATGACTTAGGAGTTCAGTGCTTCAACAGAGGTACAATTTTACTTAACACATTTGTCACACGTGGCTTGCGCAAAATGTATCAATCTTATGCTGACTTTCTGATGTCCTAATTGGGTTTGGAGACGTTCCAGCTAAATCACACAGGACTATTTCTCGAAATTGTGATGAAACTTAACCTCCCTTCTGAATACCACATGTTTAAAAACATATTTCACTCAAAGAGGTGTCAGCAAATATTAATGTAGATACTTGCAACTTTTGTATTTATCTTTGTTTGGGCTGCTTGTACCCACAAGGTTTCATGCTTACCAATATTTTGGCTTCTATATAAAAAGGAATTATGGGGGCGCCTGGGTGGCTCAGGCATTAAGTATCTGCCTTCGGCTCAGGTCATGATCCCAGGGTCCTGGAATCGAGCCCCAGATCGGGCTCCCTGCTCTGCGGGAAGCCTGTTTCTCCCTCTCCCACTCCCCCTGCTTGTGTTACCTCTCTCGCTGTGTCTTTCTCTGTCAAATAAATAAATAAAGTCTTAAAAAAAAAAAGGAATTATAACTTAGCATATGTTGTGTTATTTGTCCCGAAAAGTAAGAGACTAACCTGTGTGTGTTTGTATTTAGGTCATTCTGTCCATTGAAGAAGGTTACAGACTTCCGGCTCCCATGGGCTGTCCAGCATCTCTACACCAGCTGATGCTCCATTGTTGGCAGAAGGAGAGAAATCACAGACCAAAATTTACTGACATTGTCAGCTTCCTTGACAAACTGATCCGCAATCCCAGTGCCCTTCACACCCTGGTGGAGGACATCCTTGTGTAAGATGCAGAGTGTTGATTTTTTTCTCCTCGACAGTCATTTCTTTCAGGCTATAGACAAGACTAACAGGTAGAGAGGAGAAAGTTTACCATGATAACTGTCTAGTTGTCGACCTTTTAGAATATTTTATACAAATCATGTTTTATTTATCAGCTGTGAAAAAAATGAACATTTTTAAATGGGTTTTTTGTCTTAAGAAAACAGAGTCTCCTTTCATTCTCTCCATATCTAATTTTTCTGCGTTACTTTCGTTACATTTTTTTTTTCTTGTGGGGGTCTTTGGCATTTGTATATCCTTTCTTTATTTCCTGATCCTGCCTTACCTCTGTAAGTAGGATTTGTGTATATCTGTAGCTTCTTTAATTTTCTTGTCCATTCTATGTTCTGTCCCTCTATCTGAAATGGCAAGCAAGACAGGGGCAATTTGTGAATCAGCCAGGAGTGAGGATGTTTACCGCTGATATGATCATACCCAGCTGTTGTTACTTTCCATTTCTAGAACCAGAAAAAGACAGATGACAAGACAAGAAAATAAAGGCGCTCATATACCATTTTATAAAAGTCAGTAGAGTTGAGAAGATCTACTCACCTCTCTCTAAACAATTTTAAGAAGAGGAGAGTAGAAGGAAAAAAAAACCACTATTATCTATTTCTGAAAAAATTACATTTAAAATATTATTGAATTGAGAATATATGTATTTAGGCCAAATTGGATTTAGAAATAACCAAAGCATTTCCAAAGCTCACTTTCCTAACTCAGGTGACGGCCAACAGAATATACAGATGTTCAATTTTAGGTCACAGGTTCAAGTCAGTGCAGGGTTTTTTGTGATAACAAGGCCAAAGGCTCTTCAAGGACTACTTAAGCAGTCCCTCAGTTCACTGCAGAGCACATAAGAGTTCACCACCAAATCACTAATTGGCAGCCTCAGTAAAGTGAAGCCAAGCATGAAATAGCTAGAGATTAAACTATTACTCTAGCCCATCTTCCCTAAAGCAGTCTAACAGAGGAAGCAGTAAAGGGCAGGGGAGGGGGGAACGTAGGATTTTATCGTAAAAGGGCACTCAATGAAGGATTTTAAGCAAGAGAATGGCAGGATCATATTTGCATTCCTAAAAGATAGCTCTAGAGCTGATTTAGACTGAGTGCAAAACAAGGAACAAGACTAGAAACAGACAGTTGTATGTTTACAGAAACCCAAGCTAGAAAAGATTAGGGCCTAACTGATGAAATGGGAATAAGTTTGGGGTCAGGAGGTAAGAGGATGGATTTATTCTCAGGCAAGGAGAACAATGTGTCTTGGTCATTGATTGAATATGGAGGGGGGAGAAGAGAAAAGAGTCAAGGATACTGTCAAGTTAGTTTCTTAGACAAGCTGGCTGATAATATTACCTACCACTAAGAGAGAAGGATGGGGCTTTGGAATAGAAATGAGACCATTTCAAGTAAGCTGAATTGAAGATAACTGTGGGGCAGGTAGGTGGAGATGTGCAATAGGCAGTTATATTTGTAGGTTGAACCTCAGGTGGAAAGATCTGGGCTGAAGATTTGAAGATCATCAACATAGAGACTATAGCTGAAGATTCATGCATAGTTGAGATGACCCATGGAGACTATAAGGTATGAAAATTAGCAGAGGGAAAGAGGGAAGGGTGTTCTCTCAAACACCAAGATTTAAGAAATGAGCTGAAGGAGATTACCCAAAGGAGACCAAGAAAGAAGAGCCAGACCAGTAATAATGGAAGTCGGGAAAGAGCAGTGTCATAGAAGCCAAAAATGGGGAGAGTTTCAAGGAGTGTAATGTCCAAGTCTTCACAAAGCTTCAGCAAGATAAAAAGTGAAGTGGGTCCATTGAATTTAAGCAGCAAAGTGGTCAGGTATTTATGGGCAGCCTTAGCAAGAACATTGGAATAAAAGTGTGTAAGACAGATTGCAATGGAGCAGCAGTAAATGTGAGGTCAGAGAAAAGCAGTATAAAGTACTAAGAAGCCTGTCTTTGAAGGGAAAGAGAAGTAGTTAGAGAAAATGTTTCTTGGTTTTTGTTTTTATGTTTTATTGAAGAGATGGGCATGCATTGACATTGAAGAGAAAGAGCTAATGCAGTGAGTGTTGCATTAATGGAAAAGAACTTTGGTTATCTATAAACTGAACTCATTTAATCTGAGCCTCTCATTGTGGTATAGGGTTAACGGACCCCACAGCCAGTGCCCATCAGCAGAGCTCTCTAACTGTTCTATGGCTGTAGAAGCAGGCAGGTAAGAGCCTTCTTTTTGAAGAAAAGCAGATAAAACAATTTCTTCCCTGCTTTTTCAAGATTATGAATGTTTATCATAGTTGGAAAATACTGACGAAGACTCTAAGATGAGAAAATGCCAAAAAGTCAAAATGATCCGGAGGTAAAGTCAACATGAGGGCTTGTGTCACAGGGCCAGAGTGTGTGGTTTAATGGGATGTGCAGTCATCCTGTGGACAGGCCAGCAAATGGCAAGTTGGTGATGGCATTGCCACACACAGGCAAGAGTTGGGTACTTTATATAAAGTTGGCAGTTTGATTCGACTCTGAAGTCTAATATCTGGGAGACCAAATGGAAGTTTCTGTGACTGATTTGCTATCCTTGTTTCTGACAAAGATCTATGTGCTACTATTTTCCGCCTTTAATATACTTTTCTTGGAGAAACAAAGGGAAACAGAGCTCTATAGTTTCCATGCCTGAACTGTTACCACCATTCTTATTTCCACAGCAGCCTGAGCGGGTTACCCTTGTCAACCCCTACACCTCCAATGCCATCCACCCACCCTGTCCCTGATCCCAGAGAACAGACTGTTTCAGGGGAAGAGACATGGTACGAAGGATAGTGATGTTAGCTGAAGAATGTGTGGTTTGTTTTATGCTCATAAAACTGTGACACTGTCCATTCCCCATGTCCCAAAGCCCAGTCATCTGTCTTAGTGTGATGTTGGATTAAGGAAACATGACAGAGAGTAGAATTTCAATCTCTCCACCCATTTATCTCTCAAACAGGTAACGGAGTTTAAGTGTATAACCCACAGCAACTCTGATTAAACTCACCTGTACTCTTATTAGACTCTCGAGTATCCCCAGCCTCCCAGGGTTCTCTCACCCTTCTATACTGACATAACTCTCTCATCCACTAGGTCCCCATGGTTTTTATTCCACTCTAATTGCTTTTTTCTCAACAATTCACCTGAGAAGCTTTTATCTTTTTCTTGACAGAACAGTAAAAGGGGAAGAAATTAAGGCAACAAAGGAGGAATGAGGAAAGCTGTGAAACCCACAGCTCAATAATTTTATACTAGCATATTGGAAGTTTTATAAATCTTGTATCTGCAATTTCTCCTCTCAAAAGCCAGAACACCCAATAGAAAAAAAAAATGTTGGTCAGAGGAAGCTTTCACTGGAGCAGCTGTTCCGAATAATGCTGATATTCTTGTGCCTGGCACACTCCCATGGGAATATTCAGAGCTCTGTACAGTTCTTACCTTCTCTCCTACTCAAGAAAGTATGTGGATGTATAAGTGAACATAGCAATATTATAAGTATAATTTTAATCTAATTGATTTTTTAAAAATTTGCAAAAGTGCCTTATTAATATAGGCAGTCACCCTTTCATAAATGAGAATTTCAAACTACATTCTACAATGTTGCCTTATAACCTCCTCTTTAAAGTATTTGAGCTGTCACATGGTGCACAGCCCCTGGGAGAAAAGGCCCACTTTGAGGCCAAGTCTTTGTGGAGAATGGTATCAGGAGCAGGGCCTAGTCATGACCTTTGAAACACCTCTCACTCCCTTTCCCCTGACCTTCATGATAAACGCTATAGCTACTCTCAACCCCAAATCAAGCATATTCCCATGGAGTCCAGGGTTACATCTGAGGTCCAGTGGTTTAATAGCATAAAGTAGATTGATGACTATATGAGTGTTCCTTCACCCAGCCCAACCTTCCCCACCCACCCACATTATTCTACACATTTATTCTCCAACCTCTTCAACTCTCACCCCTGATTCCTCCATACACTGCAGAACTAGGTTGAAGTCAGTTGGCTAATGCCTTTTTGGACAGTGCAGCCATGTAATGGGAAAATAACACTTTTCTCCAGTCCCTGCTGTAGATCCCCAGCACTCACAAATTTTTTTTTTTTACAGATTATGGGCTCTTTGATGACATCAGCTAAAAAAGTGACATCCAGGGATGGGCAGCATTTGACCAGATGGACCTGTCCATGATAGTCACTTGCTTCAGAAACTGTGCTTTGCGCAGGCCAAGACACTTAAGAATATTCTCACTACCCAAGGGGCCATAGTTAGGGATCTTAAAATATTTTAGCTTTTAGGAACTGGAACCACCACTTTCCTTAGTACACATAAATTTATTGTTGAACTTTCAAGTACTTGGCTGCCAGTAATGTGTGAATCATGAAGGTAGGGAAAATTTCAAACCAGTATCATAATTAAGAACCTCTGCTTTAGACAACCACAAGTAAACTTTATAAGACTAAATGGTACTACCTCCTCCATCCAATTCAGAAAGCACCTATAATGCTGCCTTCTGAGGGCAATAACTTTCAACAATTGGATATGAATTTTTCCATTCCTTTTGAGAAGATCTTGCTCAATGCTGTCTAGGCTATACATAATCAGCACTTGCCTAGCTGTTTATACCAGGTCATAGACAACTTGTTTTAATTTCCATAACTAGAACTTCTAATAATATTTTCCATGAGAGAGAAATGAATGACTAGCCAAAATCAGTGCTATAATCGATTGATTAGCAAAACTTTATGGAAGGAAGACAGAATATTAAATATTCTAATATAATACTGCTGTTAATACCAATACTAATACTGATAAAAATTCCAGTATATATATCATCAATAATAACTATCATTGCCATTTGTTGAAAGCCTACTGTGTTTCAGTTATTGTACTAGGCACTTTTATCTATAAGGTCATTTAATCCACACTATTATCATCCC